AACATGAATGGTCTCCATAACAGCCCCAGCAGACTTCTGTATGACTACAGCATTTGAGCTCTCCAGCTTTCATCGTACCTGAGATAATGCTGCACAACTAGGCCACTTTCCGCGACGACCTTCTTCCCTTCTGCGCATGCTGGTGGACCGCGGTGAGGCGCTGGAAAGCCAGCGAGACAAATATATGTTATGGACAAAATTGTCTTTGCAAAAAAGTCTGTAGCTTCAAAAAAGAATCAATCTGCTTGAAGTTACAGCGATTTGAAGAAAATTTTCGCAAGTGCCCGGGAATTTTCTTTACGACCTAATACATGCGTGAGGGGCTCCTTGTGTGTATATTGCGACGGCCACTGCGATCTAGAATAGTTACGGATAAGTTCATAATTGCTGATAATCGAAGAGATAAACTAAACATGAAAAGGAATTGCAAGGAAGCATTGCTCTTCGAACCACTTACCCAAAATTCTTGCTCAAGAGTGAACGAAAGCTTAAAAGTGCATATGCGAAGCTGTTTCAATGGTTCGTACACACGATCAACTAATTTGGACAACGAACGACCAAACCTTTTAGAGGGTCCTGAAATGTTGCTCTTTCGCGTTATTGATTGAATATTGTTGACTAAAATGGCCTTGTTTAGAGATAACAAAAAAAATAGTATGCTATATCTGTTAGCCGCAGCAAAACAATCTTTTTCACGTTCCTATCAATAGTTTACCAGTGCGGAATTTATCTCCATCAAAGCAAAACAGAGACTTAGTGCGCAAAAATTGGTCATGCAATTCGCACTAAAGGCTTATATTCTAAAATGGTCTTGCATTCTAAGAGTCACATAATTGCTTTGCAAAGGGAAGGTCCGCCAAGCACACTGATCGAACAAGCAGACGTTGCACTTACCAGCTTTTACAAGGGGAACGTCTCGCTGTCGAATTGGACACTGCGACGCAGCACTTCTAGTGTCGTTATGATTGGAAAGAATTGATGGAATGCTAGTGATAAGTGATATAAAGTACGTAACAGGGCTCGGCACAGATGGTTTGGGGTCAAACTGGACTTCGTTTTTGAGGTTAGAAGCAACGGAGGTATCGTTTTCATAAGGTCCTGGCCGAAGGATCAAAAAAATGACAAACATGTCAGGTTTTACGAGTTGAACATGTTCTTTGGCAAGCGCGCGAATTTCAAACGTAAGACCCAAACAAACAGATGGCTTGTTTACAGCGCACAAACACTCACATGACGCCGAATTTGGGCGAATAATTATACAATATTACTGCAAACAACATTATGTAAAAAGTTTCAAAAACTTACGCGTCCTAACCCCGTTTCCGAATTTGTTGGTTTTTAGACCAACACCAAACCAATGTTTTGATTCAGAGCATAAATATCGGAGAGTTCACAAAAGTTGGACCTTTTTATTTGGACGAAGAGAACGCTTCAAAATCTTATATATAAAGCTGAATGTCTGTTTGTCTGTCTGTCTGTATGTCTGTATGTCTGTCTGTCTGTCTGTCTGTACGTATGTTCCGAATAGAAAATTCCATTTCTGAACCGATCCGGACCAAACTTGGCACACATACACTTCGGGGCAGGGAGCGTGTCATAGTCCACTTTTCGTTATCGATCGATGTCGATTTCACCGATTTTTTTGCAAATTTTGAGCTACGGGGCTGGGATTTTGCACAGGGGGGTAATCGAGCATGCTGATCACCCCCACGGGGATGATCAGCATGCTCGACTACCCCCCTGTGCCAACTCCCAGCCCTGTAGCTCAAATTTTGCAAAAAGTCGATAAAATCGATATCGATCGATAACGAAAAGTGGACCGTGACACCCGCCGGGGCCCGAAATGTATGTGTGCCAAGTTTGGTTCGGATCGGTTAAGAAATGGAATTTTCTATTCGGAACATACGGCGGAGCCGGGTAAGCCAGCTAGTCTTATATAAAGCTGAACGTCTGTTTGCCTGTCTGTATGTATGTATGTACAGGGCGTCCCAAAAAAATGTGCACACTGTTTGATTGTGAATAACTCTCTTGTAGTGGAGTGTTTCGAGAAGCTTTAGGAACCATTTTGTAGAGCGGGGTTCAACTTAGATTCACAGTGTAGAGGGAATCGCCGATCGCTCATTCTTACTGTGGGAGTATGGTAGAAACTTCAAACATTGGTGTCACTGTGAAAAAAGTGGTCGTTTCAAAAATTTTCAAAAAAAATGTGGAAATTTGTATAATAGGGTTGTTATGGACCCTGAGTTCAATACCGAACTCTTTACAAGGTTACGAAGCTTTCCAAACGGTGTAACCGCACTTTTTAGGAACACTTAAAAAACGTCTGCTACTGCTTACCTAGCATAATTTTTCAATGAAGCACTACGATGAGTTGCGACATCAACTCTATTTAGCCCAATGTGAGAGTTTTCAGGTTGTTTTGGTTTCTTTTTGGAACAAATTATAGTTTTTCATGGCTCAAAACCCTCTTCAAATTTTTACTGTAATCCTACAGTAAGAATGAGAGAACGGCGATCCGCTCTACACTGTAAATCTAAGTTGAACCTCGCTCTACAAAATGGTACCTAAAGCTTCTCGAAACACTTCACCACAAAAGAGTTATTTACGGTCAAATAGTGCACATTTTTTTGGGACACCCTGTATTATCTCCCTTTACACGAACTGATTGGTGTCCTCAAAGCACAAAAATTTAGCGCTAATATGAACAGTATAAAGTGCTGATATCATAAAGTGCTGGAATTTAAAAAAAGCAGTCCAGGCTATCTGCGAATTATCGCCTTTTTTTGAGCTGCAATGGGTGTGCAGCAGTCACCTCAAAATTTGTTCATGTAGCTTCACACGGAAGGGGTGCGAGAAGTTTCTCATCCGAGCCATATTCTTGCGATGTGATTGTCAGGCAATCGGGCTCGCTATAATTACGAGCTCCTCAGTATACCAAGACATTGCAAGACCTGCCCTCTTATCCGGTGTCGCTTCAAATGCTGAACGGGATTTCGGAAAAAGTTCTGAAATCGATGTTCAGCAGCGAAATTGTTCCAATCAAGACCAAATCTCGGAATCAGGGGCTTTCGAGGTTGTTCTTTTTAGCAGTGAGATTTGTTTGTTGCAATGTCGAAGTTCAGCATCGATAATGCACAACCGAGATCAAATTTGGGTAGTCGAAGTTTCCTTTTGAAGCAAGACCAAAGTCCAAGCTTACGGGTTTCCGAAAAATTATGGACTAACTATTGAGAGATATATCCATGGCATAAACTTGAATCTGGTTATTTTCAGAGTAAAGAAGATGTTTTTCTCTATTATTTGACCCCATTCCGAGCTTTCTAGGTCTACTGTGAAGTTTTTTTTTGCATTGGTGCAGTCTCAAGGACCACAATGACTTGTAATATTTGAAGAAATACTTGGCTGGTGATTATCATTACTGCAAAGTCGCCTGCACGAAATTAGGCTGAACGCACGCGAGCGTGCCTGCAACGCAGCTGCCGAGTACGGGCGCTGTGATGACTCATGCGCGCGAATGCCAATGTTAGCCCGCAAGAGACACGCGCGCGGGTACTCATTCCGGGCGATTCCATGCAGTCAATTATACCTTGACATATTCTTAGAACTTCAAGGAAAAAAACCATCATGGAATCATATAAGTATTGCCGCATTTGGCAAATCTTTTCTAGGGAAATAATTCGGTTTTTGTGAGACGTTTTTTTCTCCAAAACGGTTTGAAAAGTGAAATCCAAATCGGAAAAGCGACTTTGTGAATCCGTAAACCTGAACTTCGGTTACAGAACATCTAAATCCGAATTTTGGTCTTGGTTGGGCATTATCGGTGCAGTACCTTGACGTTGCAATAAACAAATTTCACTACTGAAAAAGCCCTCAAAAACCCCTGCCGAAATCTGGTCTTGGCTGGAGCAACTTTGTACCTGAACTCCGATTGACTGTCTTTGATCCCTGCTTCAGCATCTGAAGCGACACTAGTCACGTTTAAAATCCTTAAAAGATTTTCAAAATTTTACAGATTTGCCAGACATTTTTGCAAGTGCAAGTGCATTTTTGTATGATGGTCTATTCAGTTGAAGTTTTTGTTTTGCATAGATAATACCTAAGGCTTCCGAGGTGATAACAAGGAAATTATGATATCATTAGCATACATAGTCATTTTCGTCAAATGATCATGCGTGTGCGGGATAGATGCCCAACGTTGCGCATTTTTTCTGGCTAAACACAATTTGAAACTTATACATACTTACAACTTACACTATGTGCTTACATCTTCACAGAACTTTGTGGACAGCAGAATCCGGGTTTAAAGGGTGAAAGCTTGCTAATTAAGGTTGAGATCTGCTTGAAACGCAACTAGTCCACCAGAGTTGGGATACAGACAGCACATATAATGCGACAAATACGCAGAATTTTTTCTAATTGTAAGATACCGTTTTTCGTTCTTGTGCTACAATACCTTTTTCGGCTATGCTCTTTCACATAGCACCTACGGTTTTTGCGAGTGTTGCAAAAGTCTCGAATCCTCAAAATGAGCTAATTTGAGAAACAGCTCTTTGGAATTTGTTTGGATCTGTCCATATCGTTTCATTTGTAGTGTTTCAAATAGCCATCATTGACTAAGAAATAGATCGCTAGCTGTCTTCTTCGAGTGGAAATGTGATCATCCAACCAAAAGTACAGTCAACACTTAAAAAACTGCAAAATACAATTTTTGACTTCAAGTATGAATAAAGTAGAAAGCGGGATAAAGAATGAAGAATTTGTTCCTTCTTTCTCTATGTTTCGTCTACGCAGACCGAAGGCAGGGAAATGGGTTGTGTCATTGGCATAGTGATGCCTACAACAAAGGACATCACGCAAATATCATCAATGGAATTAATAAACAATATTTTTTGAATTATGTCCTCATGAGAAAGAGAATCTCTTGCAGAATCAGCTCCATCAGCAAGCTAGCGAGAGGTTTATTCCGTGTCGAAGCTATTGCACCAAGTATAAACTTTATTCTGCAATTTTTATCTCCATGGACCCATCCCAGGTCTCATTCCTCCTAGTCCCATGCCTTGTCCTGGCCACTGCTGCCCTAGTCGCATGCCCTGTCCCCATTGCTGCCCTGGTTGCATTCCTTGTCCCCATTGCTGTCCTGATAGCATGCCCTGTCCATGGTGTCCTGATCCATGTCGTCTTACTCGACTAAAAAACATAGCAGTGAAAAATAAGAGAAGCAAAGACTTGTATTAACTTACACAAGTCTTTCATCAACAATGCTCTTCGTCGCAACTGGCGATAAGAGCAAAGCGAATGTACAGAAGAAAAGGAAAATCATTGTAGAGTCTAAGGTTGGAACCGTGATCTTAAATACATTAGCTATTGAATAATTAATATCTCTGACGAATGCGGCAGAAAAAAGCAAAGTTAAGGAAAGACTCGCATTACTTCTTTACAAGGCTCACATTACTTTTTTTACTGCAGCAAAAAACGCGCAAGGTCTTAAATCTTTCAATCTTTGTCTATCATTCGAAAGATAGAGAGCGCGCACCAGACAGAAGCTAAGATATATCACAAATGATAGGAGACGAAATGTCGCGAACTTCTGTCTCTTGGAGCATTGGCGAAGCTCATCACTGAGTAACTTCGAAAGACAATAGACCCCTGGTGAAGTGATTTGATGTACCAGCGAAGTTTTTTGAGGTATAGATAGTTTTTCACAGTGTCCTTAGTGATTCAGATTTGTTGACAGAAATCGTTGTGCTTGAGCTAAACAGTTTACATATTGGCAGAGCCACCTTTAGACCTTGACGTTATTTCTGCTTCCAGAATATTGATAGCACTAACGGATGAAGCTTCAGAGCCTCAAAATCCACTGTACACTACGCTTGGAGGTCCCCATCGAATAAAAATTCAATAACTCGAATATCACATTCGAAAGTCAATATTTGAAGTTTTCCCGCTTTCGAACACGCGATTCGGCCGAATCGCCACTTTCGCGCAACTTGGCGATTCGCCAGATTTCCATAAATTTATCGTGCGCACTTCTCAGACGCATATTTGGGTAGCTTGCGTAAGCTGTTGCAAACAGAGCAAGTTCTGACCAAAAGCAGCGCATTAACGACGAATTACGAGGAGTCGCTGTTGTGCCAAATCGCGCAGCGACCGGAATCGCGCGAGGTATGGCTTAGGTATATGCAGTCGATTTGGAGTTATCTGAAGAAGCTTACGCCATCCCAGCCTTCCACATATGATTCACTCCTTAGAGCCAATCTGCGTTGCATATATCTGTTTTGATAAAAACTTCAATAAATGTTTTACCTTGCAGCATCGCGCGTTAAAGGCATTGTCTGGGTGAGAAGTCGATTTCGAGATTTGGTGCTTACCGGAGCCGTTCGCTATGCTAATTCCAAAAATCCACTCTGAATAGCGCGAAAACGGTGAAAAAAGGCTCTGACGCACGAGAGAAATTGGCAGGGAGTGGGGTGTAAACTCTAGAAATCACTCTCAGCTTTGGGAGCAATCTTCTCGGTTCCAATTCCAACACGCGTTCGCACTTGGCCGGTAGCTTAAAGGCACCGTCCACCCAGATTTTCGACTTCCACGTTTTTGTCGTTCCAGGGTCTTCTCATGTCCCTGATTCCGATTATGAAGTTGAAAATGAGCGAAAACCCCGACAATCCCCGTTTCGGAGAACCCACAGGCCGGCTTTCCAGAACGATGATTGGATGGGCGCGCACAAATGGGCGGGCATGGATGGAGGAGGACGGACATGGATGGGGGTCCTCGTGCATCTTCGCTATTCCGAAGCGATTTTCTCGCTTTCGAAGCGGCATTTTGCGCCGCGACCTGGGCATTGGATTGATAGGGGGCCCTACTATTATATGCTGCCAAAAGCTCAACACCCTCAACTTAGGGTGGACGGTGCCTTTAAGGCGGCTAGCGAGGCGAGAAGATTGCTCTTGAAGGTGGAAGAGTGATTTCACAGGGTGGAAGGCCCCGCCCACTCGCTGCTTTCCCTCTGCGTTAAAGCCCCATTTGCCGGTTCCGCTCTCTCCAGCGTGGATTTTTGGATTCGGCATAGCGAATGGGCCGGTAAACGCAAAATCTCAGAATTCACTTGTTGCCCGGACACTACCTTTAAGTTTAGTGCTGGACACGAGGTGGCATCCGTAGTTTTTGAAAACGAAGTTCCCATTCTTTGCGGAAAGTGCGACATCTCCTACGAGATTATCTTAAGAAAATGTGAGTAACAATAAAAATAGAACAAACTTTTTTGAATCTGCGACATGATCAGCATGCTCATTTACTTCCCTGTGCCGACTCCCAGCCTCGAGCCCAGACTTTCCCGAAAATGGATGAAATCGATAAAAGTGATATGTAATTTCCAGAACAATATTGCGTAATCAGCATGCTCATTTATCCCCATGCGGCTTCCCAACCGCGTGACTTTAGCTTAGGTTAATGTTGAAATAAGCCAAATCTCCATTATAACCGGTTACCAGAAGAATCGAAATAAGAAGAAGAACTAAGCAAAGTGAGAGCATACTTGTCTTTTACGCTTTTCACACTTCTTATATACGGGTACGCTGCAAGATCTTGTCGAAAATAAGCTGAGATTCTATTGTTTAACGCGCTAAATACACAAAATACTCAAGGCTTGTCTCTTCAGGAATGATCACCATCACTGATCATGATCAGTGAGCTAAACGCTGTCGAAGTTTTTTATATACATAGTTAGTGACGAATGTTGACATTTGGTACAAACCTCAGAATTGTCATCAGTCATGCGGTTCTCATTGCTCTCAGATCTTAATGAGAGCGGGTGGTTCGCGTCAAGAAAGTTGAATAAAAAATCACTTTATTTTGGGAAGGTCACGAACGAAGTAATCATTCATTGTGCTATTCGAATATCAACAAACAAGAGATTGGTTGCCATCTCTTTCTTGGTGTCCAATTCGTAGCGAATACATTTAAACAGGCTTTACAGTTGCGCCACACATGGTCTAGAAATTCCCACTTTTGAAAATTATGACAGCATCTGCTTTTAGCAAGTTTGATGTTTCTGAATGTTGCATGCTTAGTTTCGAGTAACAAAATGCCTCTTTGGCTAAAAGATTCCATAGAGATGAGTCAATGTGTGGTAAGAAGATTATTTAAATGGGACTTTATTGGTTCGATTACAAGCCTTCTTGCTAATGTATTGTCTTCTGTTTTATTATGCCAGAACCAGGTTTTTACGGTGGTAATGTTTATTGACCTGACGCGTTTCGACTAAGTCGTCGTCTTCGGAGGTCTGAAAACAAATTGCAGTCTTCTTTCATCAACGGAGCGAAACCGCCAAACGCCATCACCAGGCATTGCTTTGTCCAGACGTTGTCTCATGCACAACGTACTGAGAAACGTATAGATGAAGAACGAACCTCAGATCCACCGTGATGTTAGTGAAAGTTAGTAATAGCCGCACGAAAGTAGCGAGCGACACTGAGTACTACTCAGTGTGCGATGTCTTTATATGTGCAGGCTGCAGCTCGCATATCGATAAAAAAGGCAAGAGGTCGGTCGTTATAGACAAACATTCATTTTTGCTATTCATGCCAGGATTCCTACTGGAAATCCATGCGGCTTCCATGATCTTCCTCGCAGATATCTCTGTCTCGTACGATAAAATCGTGCACTTTATATCAAAATCACCGTTATCGTGCGCCTCGAGCTTATGTTTTCCCAACGGTGATGCTAAATTTCCTCGTCTTTTATCTGCTAAGTGCTCTCTGACTCTTACGTATAGCGCTCTACCCGTTTCTCCTATATATATCGCATTGCAGCTCAAGCATTGTAGTTGGTACACAACTCCTGACTTTGCACAATCACCTACTTTTCCGTGTGGACAAACAATGCAATTTTCGCATACACATTCTACATCATACAGCCTATTTCTAACCAACTGCTTTTTGATGTTATCGTTGGGAATGTTCACAAGCATGACATCATCTTGCAGCTGGGCTCGGGCTATGCATTGTTTGATTGCCGTACTGATTTCGTCGCAGATGAATGGTACGCAGAAAGGAACTTTGCTGCCATTTCTTCTTGTAATTTGACTACCACTACCGTTAGCAGGTTTACGGCCATGATATTGTGGAGACGTGTAGCCATTACTTCGCGCGATATTTATAGCCAAATTTCTAGATTCCTGTTGTTCTTTTTCACCCGTACATACCGCAGTAGCAGTCTTGAGCATGTTTCGAATGATGGCTCGTTTGACTGCAGTTGGATGTGCTGAGTTGGCGTGCACCAAGATGTTCTTAGAGGCTTCTTTACGGTACCACTTTATGTGAATGGCACCGTCAGATATATTTATCTGGGTGTTAAGGTAGGGAAGCCATCCATTCTTCGGGATTTCTCTTGTAAACCTAATGTACTGCGACTGCTGGTTCAGTAACTTGAAACACTCGTCCATTTCGGACTGTGTCGATGTTATAATGCAGCAGTCATCGATGTAACGGCAGTACATTAGGGGTAAGCGTGCAACGACTGGCGCCTCAATCTTACTCATAAAGCATACTGCCAGGACTGGGGCTAACCTTTGACCCATCGCCAGTCCTCTGATCTGAGAATAATAGTTCCCAGACCACTTAAAAATGTTACACTTCAAACATTCGTTGACGAGGGTCAGTATGCATGCTTTACTCAAGCCAAAGGTGACCATATTCGCATAGTGGGTGTCCAACATTTCAGATAGCGCTTGCAGTGCAGCATCATTCTGAACATTAGTGTACAATGATGTTACGTCAAACGACTCGATGACACTGTTCTGACTAACATTCAAATCTCGCAGCTGTTTCACGAACTGAAAAGTGTTGGACAAGTGTGATGGTACCTTGGCGAGTAGCTGGCTTACGATCTTGTTGAGAAACCAGGAGATTCTATCCGTGGGCCCGCCAACACAGCTGATTATTGGGCGAATTTTAAACGTTTGCGGTGACAAGGAGTGGATCTCGCTCGCTGGCAACTTATGAGTTTTCACCAGATGATAAAACACAGGGCAGTTTGGATTTTCCAATTTCAACCTACTTATCAGTCTCTCATCTAACCCTGCAGATCTTCCCACTCGAACCCAAACCTCATTCAGTTTCTTGCATTGCATCTGGAAATCTCGTTTGTTTGAGCGCTGATATACCGTCACGTCAGAAAGGTGCATCTCTGCAATCTCCCTGTCTAATGTTTGCGGCATAATAACAAAGCGCTCATAAGCGAGATTTCCAGATGCAATGCAAGAAACTGAATGAGGTTTGGGTTCGAGTGGGAAGATCTGCAGGGTTAGATGAGAGACTGATAAGTAGGTTGAAATTGGAAAATCCAAACTGCCCTGTGT